ACGGTTTCGCTCATGACATCATTGAGGTGCTCAAGCTCCAGCGCCACAACAAGGTGGTGATCCTTTGCTGGAAGGTATAAAAATATCCAAAGATATTCTTTGGATATCTTTGGTATAAAAATATCCAAAGAAAAACACAGAGCTTCAAGTTAATTCAGAATCCATAGGCAGAAAACACCATAGTAGTATATTCATAGGCATTCAAAGGAAATAGAACATCTTTTAGAATACGATGACATATTTCAAGCATTTGGGATTAGATGGGGCCTTTGTAAATCTTATTGCAGGTTTTTTAAAAAATCACCACCAAAAGCACTATCTTAGATCAGGTCCCACACAATTGTTATCACATTTAAAGGATTGTAGCCACTGAGCATTGTACTGTTAAGCTTATCAGATGGGCAAAATTGCCAGTCATATGATGCTTCCTTTTCACTTGCGGCACGGAGGCTGCCAGCTCTCATCCTATGGTATAGATCTATTTCCAGCGGGGCTCCATGGTGCAAGTGAAGAGGGAGCATCATAAGCCGCTGTCGTGGCAATGCAGGAGGCTTCCCACGTTGCACAGGCAACAATTGGGGAGAAGCTGGGTGGTGGACACTTCCTCCAATGGGATGTGGTGAGGGGAAAGCCTGATGATGCGGAGCATGGGGCAACATGTTTCCCACGCTCCATGCTGGGCCCTGCCAGATCTGGCCAATCCCAGTCTAAATGTTCTATGACTCTGGTGACTAGTATTTGACTTCTTTCTGAAATCCACTGGGTGACCTTAGCAATTCACACTCACTTAGCTTCAGAGGAAGGAAAAGGCAAATATCTTCTGAAGAAATCCTGTTAAGGAAACCATGTGATAGGTTTGCCTCAGGACTATCATCAGCTGGAAATTACTAGAAGGCACACAACGACACATGAGAAGAAAACTGTGATCACTTCTTCACATATTGCCAGCATTCTCTTAGTGGCATACAAAAGCTCAGCTCCACTATATGCTGATACACACACACACACACATGCAGATACAGATACAATACCAGAATAAAATGAAGTTAAGTCAACATAAAGTGGAGTTAAGCTTTCTGGAAGTTACTATTTTCTTCTATCCCCACAGTGATCAGTCCCCCCACCCAGTCTGGGGGGTGCTATTAAAGCATAATAGTCAGTTTTGGCCATGATGGCAGAAACATTGTAGTTGTGTCTCTCATGCTAAATACCCAGTCATAGGATCAGCCCCAGACTGATGCTGCCCAGGTTCATTAGTTTATGGAATTTATGAAACTGAGATAGTAGTGAAATATAGTGTTTCCTTCCTCTTCTATCATTTTTGCATATAAACGTGCTGAATTACAATGCAAAGAAAAATAATGAAATGAACTACTTTCACCTCATAATTTTTCCCAGCACAGCAAACACAACTTTAATTTCATTTTTAACACACCACCCTTTAGTGCATTTCAGCTTGAATCATCTTGAAACTCTAACAGTTTATGGTGCCACACATATCTCATTTTAATATTCCGTGTGAGTAATAAACTTTCTAACTGAGTTTCTTTTCATCTGAAATTGATATAGAGCCAAAAAAAAGTTTTCTTGAGTAAAAGATTAGAACACAGCAATCTGCATCTGTAGTTAACATTATCAAGGCTCAGCAGGAAGGAGAAATGATAATAGATTGCATTATTTTGTTTAAGGGTTCTTTCTCCCTTAGAGATTCCTATAAAACTGCAGGGTGCCTTTCTTGGCAGGTTTCCAGTCTACTTTTCATCATTTAATATATAAATGTCACTGGAACAGAAGCTTTTGATATTTTGTTGGAGGAAATACCTTCATTTACATTTTTGATTAACAGCTTTATAAATACATGTATATGTACATATATGCAACCACACATATACACATACAGTTGCTGTTGCTGCTTATGCTCATCAATACTTTCTAGCAATGTTGGGACTTTGCATGTTTTCTGCTCTGTAGGGGCAGAAAACTCAATACATATATTTCAACAATTATTCTGCAAAAGAGAACTTTTGAAAAGTTTTGTAAAAGATACCTTGGTTGTATTGACTATGCAGCATTGCTGTTTTAAATGGTCTGGTCCACATAGGAACTTGGGTGGGTGCAGACTGCCCTCATCCAAAATCTTGAGGGCCCTGTTCACACTAGAGAACATGTTGAGCATTCCAAAATACTCCAAAATTATCCATATTGGTGTCTAAGATACTGACACCTTTGCTTTCTAAAGGTTCAATGTACACCAACTTTATCCCATGTTGGGTGTAAAATTACCTTCAGGTGATGTGTATAAGGCGTTGATGAAACATAAATAAATTTGGTGTTTAGCCATGGGTCTCATCTTCACTATATTTCCAATGCAAGAATTTTATAATCCTCACCCCACAAAATCTAAAATACAGAATACTTCTGGTCCCAAGCATTTCGGATAAGGGATATTCAAGCTGTATAAATCATTAATCTGCTATAATTATCATAGGTCCATCCTGTGGAATCCTGGGATTTGCAGTTTAGTGAGAGGCATTTTTGGTTCTCAGCCAGGCACTGCCAGTGCCTCACCATACAACAACCACCAGAATTCCATAGGATTGAACCAGGACAGTAAAAGTGAAACAATTGTTCTTCTGTAGTGTAAATGAACCCTTGGATATCTTTAGCACCTTTCATTTTTGACAGCCGCAAGTATCAACTGAAAGGCTCCTCAGTCTTCCAGGCTGGATCAACACTGCCATATAAAATCCAGATTTTAACTTGATTATTGTATTCTACACTGCCATTTAATCCAGTTCAAACCAGATAATCTGGATTTTATATGGCAGTGTAGATAGGGCCAGAGGCAGACGGAGTGAGATTATCGAAACTTCTTTGGTTTATCTCACTGTTTCCACAGCATAGGTTGAACTTCTGTGTAACCTAGTTTCTTGCTGAATAGATGATTGAATATATACATCTCCTGCAGTTGTGAAAGCACAAGAGTTCTATGAAGATAAAACATGGTTCAAAAGAAAAGGTTTCAATGGCAATTTATTGTCTCATGATTCACTACCCGATTTCCATAAAGAACAATAACATACACTAGAGGCAACTAGAAGATGGCAACCCTTAGAGAGAGTAACATTGCTGATGCCTGCTAAGGCGGGGAAAACAGTAAGGAGGATGAAAGACTGAATGCACATTTAAAGAGGGAAGGGAGACCAACAAGGAAGTTTTGGCTAGGAAGAGAAAGCAGAAAAGAAATGAAAAGTTATGGTCAGCAGGGAAATAAGAGGTTTCTAAACCCGGTAAAGAAGTAGCATGGGAGGATAGCCCACTTAAACCCACGGGAAGCTGAGTGCTTTCATGAATAAACACTAAAGTGTCATGGAATTACCTATCTTTTTCAGAAGGCCCAAAGATGTAACACAGATTTTTTAGACAGATTTTTTTTTTGCTTATCCTCTGAGTGATTTCTTCAAGTATATTGCTTCAGGAGCTTAGTGGTTACTGAAGGATAGCTCATGACTTGTTCTAATGTAATATTCCTCCCTGGTACATCTTTCATCATTTTAAAAGTGTTGTCAATCCAAATTGTATACACATGCGACATTTCTTCCAGCTATTTTTGTTTATTATGCTTGTATCTCCCTCCAGCACTTAAGAAGAGAAGCTTGTCCCTGAAGCAACTCTCTGAATAGTTTGAGAGAGATTTAGTTATGCAGTGATTTTCATAGCCGAATAGCCTTTTGAACCTGGGATCTTCACATTCAAAAATAACACTCTAGCTAGACATTAACCCCCTTTGTTCTGTGCTTATTTATAAACCATGTAGAATGATGTAGTCATCTCTTCATCAGTTAGTGTGAAGCCTCTCATCCTAAAGGCATGGATGTGAAGGAAGTAAGCGACTTCAGGGTTTTTAAAAATTAAGTTCACCAAAGTTTACTATATGCATAGTAATAGCATTATGGAGTGCACTAAAATCACAGTTATCATTCTCTTCAGGGTAAAAGTCTCAAATTATTATGCTGAAAACATTCTTCATTTTGCTACTGCTATCTCTAAAATACATTTTACAGTTAACTCCTCCATAATAGGAAGTTGTACTTGGGTTACTTGTTATTGATAAGCTGTATGATAGTAACAGAATAGATTAAATTTAATGTATCTATCTTGTATAGAAGGGAGGGGTATGGCTTATTATTTACTTAAAATAAGTATACAATCGTTTCTTTAACTAGTATACTGACACTTCACCATTAATACCACTGTTATAACTGTTATAAATAGTCATATCTAATTTGCTTGTTAACATCACCAAAATCTGTTTTTCCCTCCTTTTTCCTCAGGGACACCTTGATAGTAACTTGCACCAACAGTGCCACGAGTATATTTGCAGGCTTTGTCATTTTTTCAGTTATTGGATTCATGGCAAATGAGCTCAAAGTTGACATTGAAGATGTTGCAGACCAAGGTATAGTTGTTTGTTTTTGTACAACTCTAGTTAATTGGTTTTTCAATACTGAATAATGTTTGTTTGATCTCTGTGCAAGTCAACTTGTAGCTACACAAGTTGGACCCTTTTGTAAGTTAAGGGCCAAAATGGTACCACTTCTAGGTACTAATAGATAAACTCTAATCACCACCCTTAAAAAAGTATCATATACTTTCAGATCGTCTTCTCCTTTTTATGAGTGTACAATTACAGGTTGAGAGTCATCATATGTTTCCCAACTTGGTAATACTTAACACATCATTATTGTGGATCTTCGGATGAATTATATCAATAAAAATAGATAAGTGCATTATCCATATTCTCTTTGAGTCATGTCTCATGGGGCTGCTTAGAGCAGCTGGAACTAAGCTGTTTGGGTAAACCATTCTGCTTGTATTATCTTATTTTGAAGGAACATAGCTTTGTCATGCATCTGGATAGCTACAATAAATTCTCAGACAATCTGAATCATTTTTATTCAGCTTTGCATTGTTTCTTTGCCATAGTCTTTCTCTCTGCTATATACCAACCACTGTAAAAATTTAAATTATAATCATCATGAACAAAATGCTCATCTTTGGCTTACATTACTTTGTAGAACACTGCGTATTTTGACAGGAATATATAAATATTGAGTGGTGCTGTCATCCTGGCTTTGTTTGAGGCCTGGAGAGATGAATGCAGTAGAGTTCACAGCTTGCTGACTGTTCAAAGTAATGTAGAGAAAGCTGAGTCACATCAGAAAAAGCAGAATATGCTCTCAAAAGGAGAGTTAGGACAGGGCTGTCATCACTATGGGAAATGCTAGTTGGAGCATAATCTTAACAACCAGAGTTGTAGACATGCCATCTCCATCTGGTGATAGGAGCATTATGTTCTCAGGTCAAAAATGTCAGGAGATGGACACCAAGGGCTCTCCTAAAGTAAGCTGATCAAAGACCCATATGAACTTGGGTTTTCCTGGATTGTTAGTGAATCTCAGAAACAGTGGACAGGATAGCAATGATGTCTAGTAGTACTAGTAGTAAAGGAAAACCTAAAAATAAATTATAGCTGAGTCTTCCTAAGTTATGTTCTGAATCTGGAAAAAGGAACAGTATGGCTAGAATCCACATTATTACTACTCAAATCTATTTAATGTTGCTCGAAGTTAACACTGATGGCAATCTTATCATAAGATTTCATTGGCAAGATTTATTCACAAAGATTTGTCATTGCCTTACTCTGTGGATAAAAGTGTGTGATTTGCCAAAGTTGGCTCAATAAGGATTCAGTTCTGGTCTCCAAGAGTCCTGGTCCAACACTCATGGCAACATGCTGGCTTGCCAGTTGAATCCCTCTTATTAAATACCTTTTTCATTGTTTTCTTTATTTTATAATGGTAAAAAGGAGTGATAGAAGCACCAAAGAAGAGCTAACACATCTCTGTGCAAAGGAAAGCACATAATCTTTGAGAGCATTTTATTTTTGAGATTTCAGAAAGGGGGGTCAAAGGAAAAGAATCCAGAAATTGTCATATGGAGAATTATGCCTTTCCAAATCCATCTCAGGACCGTGAGGTGCTTGCTTTCAAATATTTGCTGTGGTATTATCTGAATGTCCTAGGTCTAGTGATGGATCTTATATGTCATAAACAACATGATCCTCTCATATCTGAACACGCAACTGAAACACTGTGTGTTCAGTTTAAAATGGAACATTTGAAGAGTGTGGGAGATTTGCAAGTACCTTTGGTTCCTCTGTGCTTCTTGTCTCACAAATCAAAACTACAAAAGGCATGGACTGCAGCCTGAATAAAGTCCAGTTAAAGGGCCTAAAATCTGATTGTCACAGCAGCCATTTTTTCCTGGAAATTCAGGTGTGGAATAGCAGTTTGCACATCTGATAATAAATGTATAGATTCCATAATTTTAAGTAGAATTATACGTTCTTTTTTCAACATAAGCCATATAGCACCATGAGACATTCTATTCAGTAACTGAATAAAGTATTATGTAGTCTTATTTATTTTAATTATATGATGTTTGTAATCATTTATAACAAATACAGTTCTGTTCCTTCCCCACTGCATGGAACCATTCTTTATCTCCTCCGGTGCAACAACTTAGACTATTGGAATAGATGCACACTGTATTTCATAGTAGTCACAACCCCTCTTTTGAGTCCCAAAATTTTTTTCTTGCTTTTTCTCATGTAAAATCATCACATTAATCATTTCTCCTCCCTTGGAAAAAAACTTTTTCCCAATGGCCAGTACATTTGAGACATAAAGAAAATGCACATTTAAAGCAAGCTATTAAGTAACCTCTCTCAGAGGTAAGAGAGTTTGTAAAAAAGGAAACAAACTGAAGCTTGTTGGATCTCCCTGCTTTTCCCTCCCACGTGTCTAAAATGTTCAGAAGTCCCAGCTTCCCTTATTTCTGTTGCAACACACTGTTCCTGTTCTTTAAACATGAAAGGTGTTAGCTTGATAATACCTCTTCAGCTTCCCATAAAACACTTTTGGAAAAACATACTGCCAATTGTTGCAGGGGAAGCAGCCATTTCAGGGCAGGCATTTGTTTTCCTGACTGATGTGACCTCTGTTGCTTGTTTTACAATCTAAACAATGCAAGTCATTCATTTTCACAGACTGGAAGAATGGAATTATCCACTTTAGACAAACACCCCATGTTTGTCTGCCATTTCTGACAGTTTTGTTCGGTGGAGAAATGTGGTCTCTTTTTCATCAAATGGACTAACATTCTGTCCAGTTATTGACAGAATATACCTAGCAAAATAACAGCTACGCATACCTAGCAAAATAACAGCTACACATGCAAAACTGAGACACATTGTCATTTGCCAAGGTACAAGAATTGCAGAAGAAATCCTACATTTGTCAGATAACATGAAAGACAGGGCCACAAAATGACTTTTCAGGAACCTAGGGGATGGAGAGAGCTAGTAGGGTGCAGTGGTTTGTGTATTGGACAAGAAACCAAGAGACCAAGGATCAAATCCCCACTAAGCCATGTAAATCCACTGGATGAGTTTGGTCAAATCACATTCTCTTAGGCCCCATCAAAACTGCCATATAATCCAGTTTTTGAATTCAGATTATCTGCTTTGAGCTGGATTATATGGCAGCGTAGATCCAGCCTTCATTTCAGAAGACAGCAAAGACTAATCTTTGAACAAATCTTGCCAAGAAAGCCTCATTAGAGGTTCATGTCACCAAATCAGGAATAACTTGAAGGCACATGACAACAAAACAGTGGATGAAGGAAATAGAAAGAACAGTACTATGGGTATATTGCTAAATATTCCCTTGTTCTGGCTGAACTGCTGATCTGAAGACCTGAAGGTTGGTGGTTTGAATCTGTGAGACAGGTTGGGCTTCCATCTGTCATCCCCAGCTTCCCATGCAGGGACATGAGAGAAGCCTCCCACAGGATGGTAACACATATGGGCATCCCTTGGATAACATCCTTGCAGATGGCAAATTCTCTCACACCAGAAGCGACTTGCAGTATATTCTCAATTTGCTTCTGACATGATAACAAAGTGTCTATCTCTTTAATGCGGGCAAAAGCAAAGACTGCAGAACCAAATGACTTCAGCAGTTGGTAGAATGTATAGCCTGTATACTCATGTATAAGTTTAGAAATTAAAGTAAAAAAATCAACACAAAAAACCTGGCTTGACTTATCCATGCATCCATAGCTTATCCATAGCTAAACTCTTATCTGAGTAGAATGGGAAAGGGAAGAGAAAGATTATTTCAATCCTAGGAGAACCTAAAAGAAGCACTGACCCTTTCTAGACCCTCTGTTTCTGGTTTTTTTAAAAAGCCTGGGCAGGGAAATGGCAGCAGTGATGGTCAAGGCAGGTGGCCCCCTGATGCAGCATTAGTGTTTTCCTTCTCTGTGAAATGATCCTTGACTCCATAGGTCATTTCAAAATCCATAATATTGGCCCTCAAACCCTGACTTACATTACAGGTCAACTTATACATGACTATATGTGTTATTTTGAGACATACCACAATAAAAGTGAAAAGTACAAAATGTGAGATAATTGGAAGTAGTAATGGAAGTAGTTATATTCTGTTTTGTAGTAGTCATATAATGAATGGGCCCATTGCTTAAATGTTGACTGATTCTGAGAAAAGGAAAAATGTTTGTTTTACGCAAAAAGGTTATAGACATACAGTAGTTGGTCAAATATATATCCTACTCTTGCTGGTCATAACTCTCACTTGCCCATGAGATTAATTTAGAGAATCCCAATCAAGGGAGATTTGCAATTTCATTTTCTTCAATTAAATTTTCCCAGAGGGTATGATGAATACTAGGAACTCATTATTTTGATTCCTTAATTTAATTTTCAGATGCGAAATGCTAGAGCAAACAACCTTCTTATCTACAGCAGTCAAGAAGAAATCTTTAATCAAGAGATGAAAGAGCATGCTCATGAATATATAAGGTCCCCTAAGCCTTTTTGCCCAGAAAAACTGCCAGTTAACAGCAGGTTTTAAAGCGAGCTGCTTGCAAGGCATCACAGCAATAAAAATATTTTTCCACCAGCAATACTTTTAATGTTTGTCAAGGATATCCCAAACATTTTGTAAAGTGCATATTAAAATTAGCAATTTTTGCTGCTGAAATGGAGCAGCCCTGCATCAATCAAAACTAGTGGTGGTGGTAGGTAGACATCTATGTGTGGTAAGTATAACATAAAGGGATAGTGAAGAAGACTTCACTATCAGAAAGTCATTGTTTTCTCTATGTCTGGACCTTGAAACATGGGAAAATGTGAGGAATCTCTACTGAAATGACTTTGAGAAATTGGACTGCCAGGATTGCTCTATATTTTTCTCCTCAGGAATTATTAATCAACAGTGTACTAAATGGCCAAGCACTAAGAAACATCAAGATAATTATTGTCCTTGAGCCCTCTCAGATAAAGCAAAGACTACCTGCAATCTAACTTGCACACATCTACTTAGGAGTAAGTTTCTATGAACACATGGAGGACACTTCTAATTCAGTGTACATATAAGAGCCTTCATATTTAAGGATGTTTTGATGATAATAGATTGAAGGTGAAATTTGCCCTCCCCCTGAAAATATGTAAGTAAGCAACATTCACAACATCCTGTGAAACCAGGCATGTAGCCGGGGGGGGGGGGGCTTGAGGGGCTTCAGACCTTACTGGTGCATTATTTAAACTGCTATGTTTATTCATATCATGATCTGATCACTATACTAAATATATCCCATATGCATGGGGGTATTGGGGTAACAATTCAAAAGGTTTGCTAGGGTAGACCCTCTTTCACTCAGACTCAGCCCCCCCTGAAACAAACTCAGCCCCCCCTCCCCGAATCAAAATTCTGGCTACGGGCCTGTGTGAAACAATGTAAAAATAATTCCAGGGCCCATGCATCTATACATATTTTGGAATGAAGTGGGTGTACTATTGCCCTTTGGTTGCATGCAAACTCCCTTTTGAAGCCTCAAATGTACTAAACTGTCCTTTCGCTGGCCAAAGAAAAGGGACTTTTCACAATTAACAATTATAGGGCTAAGATTCCATTTTAATTACCATGATTATATCCCATGGAATTCTGGAATTGTAAGTGTAGGGACAGGTATTCAGAATTCTTAGGCAGAGAGCTCCTCTAGTGCCTCACCAAAATGCACACAGGGTTTCATAGGATGTGGTCATGGCATTTAAAGTGGAAACATAATTGTGTAGTGTAAAAAGCCCTAAAGATTGTCTGTTCACTTTTCAATAAGTTGCAATCTTCTCCTGCTATCTTTAAATCATAGCATTGGGAGAACCACATGAGCCATCCAGTTCAATCCCCTGGTTTAGAATAGTATGAAATAGTGAGGTTCCTAAGAGGCATCAGAGCATAATGAAAATACTTTCAAAATGTTTCTGTCTCTCTCTCATTCTTTTATTGTAATATATTTTAATCCAAATGCCATTTGGTATCCCTTTACAGTTTTTATCGCCCACTCTCTCTTTGAGCGTTATCTCTTAAAGAAAAAGAGTAAAGAGTTATCTCTTAAAGAGCTTTAGCACTGCAACACCATCACATATTCAGTGACCATTTGATGAAGTAATGAACTTGGAAAGCAGGATGCAGAAACTAGTTTACAAAATAATTCAAATTTATTTGGTATTATAAACCAACATAACAATATCTGTTTCTTGTGTTCTTACTTTCAGGTCCTGGAATTGCCTTTGTAGTATATCCTGAAGCCTTAACTCGGCTTCCTCTTTCTCCATTCTGGGCTATTATTTTCTTCTTGATGCTCCTAACACTTGGCTTGGACACCATGGTAAATTTGGGCTTTTCATCTACTTTCCTGTAGTTCATTAGAGGACATGATGCATAATATTATGTTTATGTTGAGTAATATGGGGTTACATCTTCAAGACAGGGATGTTTTTGTTAAAGGATGGACTTTTCTTTAAGTTGAAGAGTGAACAAGAAAATCTTCAAAGAGCCTGCATACTAAAGCTTCTGTTTTCTGGTTTTAAGAAAAGGATTAGAAATGCTATGTATTTTATTACATTTACTTTTTTTTAACTTGTTCTCTTCTCTGACATTCCCAGTTTGCCACTATTGAGACAATAGTGACATCAGTTGCAGACGAGTTTCCAAAGTACTTACGTACCCACAAGCCTCTGTTCACTCTTGGATGCTGTGTTTCCTTTTTCATCATGGGCTTTCCTATGATCACTCAGGTAAAAGCATTTTCTTGACATAGACAAATTATGTGCTATGTATTCTTCCAGTGGAAAAAGACTGATGCTACAGTTAATAATAATAGCTCCACGAAACTATTCTCTTTGAAAAGAAAATGTATAGCTCAAGTGAACTTTTAAAATAGGTTTTCATAGCAGTCCTAACCTCCAGATCTACTTGCTGTTAGGGTTACCATAGGACACAGATGGCATTCTGCCACTAGGGGGACCATGTCCTCCATGAAGGTTCCAGTTACACTATGTTACTGGTGACAAGAGTTGTGTATATATAAATCTACTGGTGTCAGTCATCCTTGAAAAACAGAGCGTTCTGCTAGTGGTAGCAGAATTGGCTGTGAAGTTCCTCCACTTTTCCAAGAGATTGGATTTGTTCCCCTCAGTTATGCCACTTTGGGAAGCAGCAATAACCCAAATCTGTGCAACATCTGAACCTGTTAGCCAGGCTTATCAGATAGAAAAGCTCCAAATAGCTTTGTGGATTTCTGTCAGTAATTACATATTTTATTTTTAGGGTGGAATGTACATGTTGCAGCTTGTGGACACCTATGCAGCTTCTTACTCTCTGGTTATAATAGCCATTTTTGAACTTGTTGGCATTTCATACATTTATGGTAAGAAAAACATAAGTGATGTGTCCATCACACAAATGTTGCATGGTCGATAAGTGATCAATTGATATGAAAATGGGATAAATAAAATACAGAGATGTTTTTCTTTATTAGAAACTAAGGGCATCATCATCATTTCAAAATAAGCATTAAAGAGCACATACAAGCAATTATTTTGAATTCCACTTGAAAAGCCTAGCTCCGCTCATATCACCACAGCTGGGAAGGTTACATGATTAAGTCATTTGCAATAGATAGCAGTGAATTATAATTAATGTGAATGTAGAATTAATAGCAATGGGAAATGTACAAGTAATGATGAAGCATATTAACTGGCATAAATTTGTGCAGTCAGGCTTTCAGGAAGCAAGCTTCAAGTTCTGAAAATGGCTTAAATTTATTTTATTTTAAGAATGATTGCACAGCCATGTCCTTGCAATTGTAACAATTTCATTTAGAAACAATATGAATATGTATACAATACAGTCCATTACAACCAATGGGTGGGGTCTTCCAGCAGGACTTTTCTTCACCAATATTATTAATTCCAGACTAATGAACTTTGTGCTGCTCCTGCACACATGGAAGATATGGCAGATAGAAATGAGAACTTTTTAAACACCCAGCCTTTGAACTTTCCTAATGCTGCTTCATACAAGTATGTTCAGAATGCAGCATTCTCACCTAACAACTACCCAATTTCTCTTCCACTGGCAAATTTGATAAGAGTATTTGGGTTGTCATAACCCAAACATTTGCCTTGTAATTAAGACATTGCAGCTAAGTACAGTTCCGTTTTGTCCAATATCTTCAGATAAAGTAAGATTTGCGATGTCTTGATCAGGATAAATCATAAATCCACTGATTGGCTAGATTAACTAGAAAACAAGTTTATTAAACTTTTATAATCACAAATAATTTCTGGAAATATACTTTTTATTGAAACCTATAATATTAAATGAAACACAATTGGTCTGTCCAAATCCAGTTGTTTCTTTCAGCTAGAGAAGAGCCATTTAATCAATGGGAACATGGTACATAAATATTTATTAAGTTTCATTTGGTCTATTCCTGTGGAAAACAATGTCTTGATTTATGTCTTAAGACTTTTAAACTGATCAGGACCATGTGAGAATGATGTCTACCCCAAAACCACAGAGTAGAAAGTTTTGGAAATGTACACAGAGATCAGGATATTTACCATCTCTCAAAAAATAGAAACACCTCTATCTTGATCCCTATCTTAAGCCTTGTGAGGAGCGGGTTAAAGAGCTGGGCATATTTAGCCTGCAGAAGAGAAGGCTGAGAGGAGACATGATGGCCATGTATAAATATGTGAGAGGAAGTCATAGGGAGGAGGAAGCAAGCTTGTTTTCTAATGTCCTGGAGACTAGGATGCAGAACAATGACTTTAAACTACAGGAAAGGAGATACCACCTGAACATGAGGAAGAACTTTCTAACTGTAAACTCTCAGTGGAACTCTGAGAGTTCACAGTGAAACTCTCTGCCACTGAGTGTGGTGGAGGCTCCTTCTTTGGAGGCTTTAAAAAAGAGAGACTGGTGGCCATCTGTCAGGGGTGCTTTGCGATTTTCCAGTCCAGGCGGTTGGACTGGATGGCCCCATGAGGTCTCTTCCAAGTCTATGATTCTATGATCCACAGTTTTCCCCAGAGATACTGTTTAGTAACACGGAGACTATGAATGTTTAATCATAAATAAATAAATAAATAATAAAACTTTATTTATATCCTGCCACTATCTCCTAGAAGGGACTCAGGCAGCTTACAAAAACACTTAGTAGTGCAACAAAATACACAAAATACAATAAAGTACATGAGCATATAATTAGCCTTCTGGAAAATGGATACTCTGAGACTGGGATTTCAAAACAGATCCTGTTGCCACTTCTCCCCTACTTCTTTTCATCAACTCAAAAAGCATTTGAAAATATGCATGTATCATTCCATTCAACCATACTCTAACTCTTCAATAAACCTTCTTTTATATGTCTAGGCATGTCCTCTCAATAAATTAAATGGAATTGATTGCAATTAAACTTGACCTAGGTGGGTAAACCTTGGCATCGTTTACATGATAGGGTTCTCATTATCTTTTTTAAAAGCTGTGTTGGATCACTCAAAAATACACAGCATATTGTTTCTGATAGCTGATATAACTACTAGGCATGGAAGAGCTTCCTTTATTTGAGCACTTGTAGTTTCCTCCCTTTCTCAAGAGTTCTTAGCATGGATTCTGTTACACTGAGTTGCTCACTGAGTTGTTTTTTGTGGCTAATTCTCAGAACACTTTGGTGCTTAGTCATTGCCAGTTCAGTTAGAACCTGTTGTCCCAATGTGCAAAACTATTCCCCAAAATTTACACTTGCTTTTGCTGAGGTATCATTTGCAGTTTCCTTGCCTCTTCATCCCACTCTGGATAGACACTTTTACCTTTTCACTAGCTTTGGAAATTTTAACAGACTTGAATAGTTTTGGGTAGGTTATGACATATAGTGCTCTGTGAGTAGTGATACTGTGCTGCCTTTACATCCTCAGGTTTAACTGAGTTATGGCCATCTGAAACATAGCTGTTAGTTAACAAGTGTCCAAGTGGGGAGGTGGGAAGGCAAGCTAGCAACGGAGCCAGGATATAGAAAGACACTGTCTGAGGGCAGTGCAGTCAATTTCAGATCAGTCATTCTGACTGGGTATCCAAATTCCTGACAATAGCTTTATAGGTCCATGCCAAATACTGCAAATTGCAGCTTTTTGCGCTTCACAGTGATTGTGCTGAAGAATAACACAAAGCAGGGCCCTGTTCACACTACTGAATTATAGCACAGATGGCAAAATTCAGTGCCACATTAACATACAAATATACACATTGAGCAATAAAACAGAAAAAAAAAACATATAAATACAATTAAAACAGATTAAAATATCATACCTAGACCTATAGTCATCATAGCGCTACTACATTTGTGTCTCATTCCACATTGCACTATTCCCCAAACACCTGGGTCCATTAACAGGTCTTTAACTTTTTCCTGAATACCAGGAGGGGGGGGGCAGTCTAATGCCATGAGGCAGAGAATTCCAAAGCTGAGGGGCCACCACTGAGAAGGCCCTGTCTGTTGTACCCACCAATTGTGCCTGTGAGGGGGATGGGATCGAGAGCAGGGCCTCCCTGGCAGATCTTAACGCTCTAATCGTTTCATAGGGAGAGATATGTTTGGACAGGTAAGTTGGGCCAGAACCATTGCTTGCCTTTCCCCATACTTTGTTGGTTCACACCAACCAAATTTTCAGAACCCTGACACCTCTTCACATCTTAAAAAGGAGAATAAAATGAAGGCATGGTTGACTTTTTGAGGCAATACTGCATTTGCCCCTTAACCCCCGAAATAACGAGACAGACACAAATGACTGGATTCAAATTGGGCAACTTTTATT